TCATTCGTTTTATGTTGACAATTGTGTCACTGACGTTCACGATGTCAAACAGCAAGAAACTTTTATAGTTAAGGCGAGAGAAGTAATGGCTCGGGGATGTTTTAAACTACGGGGTTGGGAAAGTAATGTTCCAGGTCATTGTATTTCCCGTAGTTCAGGTGTAACTTCTCTTCTTGTAGAATGTAGTAGAATGAGTGAAGCTGATGCAGAGCACATTGTCATTTGTTCTAGTTTGGAAAATAACTTATAATTTATTTACCGAAGTTGAGAAGAACAAAGTATCTTAAGAGATTATTTTTCAAAGTCCAAATCGAGAGAGGACTTCTTAAAATTATAAAAAGTACAACAGAAATTGAAAGCTAATGTTATGTATTGTTACAAATTTTGTATTTAGATAGCTAATTTTAGTAAAATTATAATTAAAATTCTTGCATTTTTCTGTGTAATGTAGCAAGAGACAAATTTTTAGAGAAAGCTATGCCGGAAAAGTAAGAATACAGGGGCACGTGCATTGAGTAAATAAGTATCTCGGTAATTTGTATTTAAACTGAAAAACTGTAATTGACCACTATGTTGGCTGTAACCGTAATTCTGCCCTTGTATTGCTTTCCAGTAATTTCAAGAAGCAGAAAGTACTAGAATATCTCGCGGCCGGTTGAAAACTATTTAAGGCCGAAAAGAGAGCATCTGCTATCAGTAGTTTAGTTAGCTGCTGTTCTTAATGTTATGAGTTCAGGGTGAAATCGGATTAGCTTTCTCTTTAGATACGCTTTCCATTGCCTTGTGTTTTTCGTTCTTAGTAGTTTGAAGTTTAACTACACTTTGTACTTTGTGATAATGTAAACACTTGTACGAATATTTTTGTGGAAAATTCCAGAGTTCTGAAGTATATCTTTCGATTTAAAAAAAATATTAACCTATTATGGGACTTGTGCATTCTATCTATTACGAACCCCTACGCACGTAACAGTATTTTCATGTTATTATCTTATGTGCGACTCAGATTGAACATTATTTAAATTGCCTAATATTATAAATTGTAAATTTCGTTTAATTTACCTCGAATACAAGTGTCTTGTTTATTCTGAGTTTATTTCTGCAAAGCTTACAATTTCTTTATCTAATGTTATTTTTGCTAAGCAGCTAATTGAACGATGAACGAGTTGCTCATTATGTTTCATTTCATTATATATACTCTGAAATGTTTACAGTTATTTTTGTCTTATTATTACTGAGCATCAGATTTTATCTTATCTTTTTCATATCAAGTTGCAAGTATATCGATTATGTTAATTATTAATACATATATTGTTGGTTGTGTTAACTGGTTTTCCAGTCAATAATTAATGACCCCAGTAAGAGAACACTTCAGGCCGACATTGCTGCTCTGTTAATCGATTTTTGAATCCTCCGTATTTATAATATGATATCATATACAGTGAAACTAAGGTACATATAATAAAACTTCACTGTATGATAAAAAAACTCTAAAGGCATGCTTTGATCTCAAACTTCAGGATATCCAAGTCTTTTACGGTGAGTGAAATCGGTACAGAACCATTTAAGAAGTTATTTTATTTGCTTTTCTATGAATGGTAATTTGCCAGACTATTTTTTATGCCATAAGTGTGACAAATAAAGTGTTACCCTATCAATATATATCGATTACAAAATCTTCAGATTTATTTCTTCTGTATATTATTGTCTTCATACGAAATCGAATCGTGAAATTTTACAGAGATGAATGCCGAATAGGTATTTAAGAGAAAATTTAGCGAATTTTTTGACACTGAAGCTCGTTGGCAGTCGTGTTACAGACAAGTTTAAAATGACTTACAAATAATTCGATAAAAAAATTCAAAAATATTAGTAACTTTACTTTATTCAAACCTTTCAATATTTGTATCTGTAGAAATATTAGGGTTTTTTTTTTTTTTTTTTTTTTTTTAAAGCAAGAAAAGTGAAAAATGAGCAACGCCCTCGCCGGGAATCGAATCATAGACCTCTGGAATACGCGCCCACCTTGCAAACCACTACACTACAAAGGCATGATAAGATCATGGGAGAAATACCTTATATACGTTTTTAGGGAACGTTTTTGCAACTGCGTCCTAAATCGAAACAAACCATTATACACGGTTTGTCAGGGAGGAGAGAGACAAGTCCTCATTCCCATTTAGTGTTTGATGTTAATTTAAGAAATTTTGAGGGCCGTATGACCATAACTTTGAAGTACTTTCTCAAACAAAATATGTCGATGTGTTCCAAAAGTAGTTCATCCCAATACCCTAAAAGAATTAAGAGAAAGAAATATTACCTTGTCTGGATTGCAAGCTAAAGAATATGAACTGAGTTGCTTTTAGGAGCAGATGCCATTGGGGCATTATTACTGGCAGCTCTCTGAAACTGAACTCTGATGTAACTGTAGTTGATACTAAATTCGGATACACTGTGATTGGTAAACAGCTTATCTAAAGAACCTACTTCAGCTACTATTCCAGCATTACTAAAAAATAATTTGTACAATAATGTAGTTTCGTTGCATTGTACTAATCTTAGTATAACCGAACTCTTGAATTTTGATGCCTTTGGCATAACAGACTCAACTGAAGATGTTAAACGTAAACTTGATCATTCTGACACCGTTAAGCAATTTAAAGAGAATTTAAGTGTTCTTCTTGGTGGCCGATATGAATTGCCACCACCCTTTAAATCTGAAATTCTGTTACCTAACAACTACCTAGTCTATGACTTTTAAAAAGCATCAAAGAACGTGTCAATGAATTAATGAGGAAAATCAGTTAGATGACTATAAGGTAGTTTTTAAGCAATGGGAAGACCTAAAAGTAATAGAAAAGGCTCCTGAAACTGAAATTGATAATTTGAGTTATTATTTGCTCCTTAGACCTGTTATAAAGCATACTAGCCAGACAATGAAGGTAAGGCCAGTGTTCGACGCTTCAGCCCGATAGAGAAATCAACTGTCCCTAAATGATTGATTGATGTAATCTGGTGGATTAAGAACCGTGGTGATTGGTCAGTTTTTGTTACGAACAGAATAAAAGAAATAAACAGTCTGATTCCTTTTCAGTGTTGGCGCCATCTTCCAGATGATTTAAACCCGGCAGAATATGCTTTCAGGAGGCTGGTGGAAGAGGTTAGTTCAAGTAGTAAAGGAACTGTTGAGAAGGACACTCGATAACGCGGTTCTTACAACCGAGGAGTTGCACACAGTATTGTGCGACTGCGAGTCCTCTTTACATATCTGTCCGAAAATCCGGATGATCTAATCCCACTTCCCCCAGCCATATTTCTCATCGAGAATCGTAGCTTAGGAGTTCCCGATGTTGATTTCTGCGATTCGAAAGGTCTCCGAAAACGGACTAGACATCGCCAAAAACTACTTAAGGATTTAAGACATAGATTTAGGAAAGAATATTTAGGCCTTCTGGTCCAAAATAAGAAGGGTCCATCGTCAGAGCTCCAGTTGGGTGAAATTGTCCTAATAGGAGAGGACATCAAAAAACGGATGCACTGGCCTTTAGCTAAGGTCATTTGACAGTGGCGTAGCTAGGGTGAGGCAAAGGGGGTCCTCAAGCGCAGCATCCAGGAGGCCCCAAATTGATGCTACGAAATTTTTTAATGAAATATTTTCCCATTCTTGGCACACAGAAAGGGGCACAAATTCTTCAGTTGTCCCCGAATATTGGCTAGTTGGAATATTAGCTAGACCACTGTCATTCGACTAATTTCTGGGAAAGATGACAAGGTGAGAACTGTAGAGCTAAAGGCTCAAACTGGTACGCCGCTTCGTCCCATTCAGCGAGTCTTTCCATTGGAAGTGCAGTTAACGGACACACCCACTGATCCCATACCCGATAACTCTTTTACTAATCCTATTTCTTCTATTTCTAGTGATGAGCATTCAGATTCTAATGACTCTTCAAATGACTCAAGCAACATCCTGCAAGGTGCTAAAGTGTAAAAATTTGGACGTGTTATCAAGGTGCCTCAGAAATTAATTCTCTTGGACCTGGTATTGTATGTCTTTGAGCCAACATGAAGTCGACTCCAAGAGGAGGAGAATGTGCTGCTCCAGACAGACGATTATGTAACGGCTGTGCGAAGTCGACAGAAGGAGCGCCGCTTTTGATTGGACTATTTTTATTATTCTTATTTTTCCTTTAACTAAGCGGGGAAATTCCCTTTTCACTCAGTTATAGTATGTATATATAACTGAGTTATATATACATACTATATAGTTATAGTTTTCACTCACTTGTTAGATTAATGCACCGTTTCCTGTTTGTGTGAGATATCCATATCTTTATATTAATAATCCCTGCATATAAATAATAACAATTATTTAATTTGTAACCTGCACGTTGTAACCCTGAGAGTTGCAACAGCTTGTATAAAGGCTGTGCTATGAGAAGGAGGAACTCCGGTTGCAACGTACACAACTCCGGTTGAGAAGGAGGAACTCAGGTTACAGATGAAAAAAAAAAGTCACGGCAGAGATTATTCAATATCAAGGTTTTAATATGGATATTTCACACGAGCGAGTACGTTACATTACTTTAACTTATACATACATATTCTGATTAAAAAAAAAAAAAAAAGGATTTCCTCGTTTTGTTCGCAGTTAAAGAAAAAAGAAAGACAATAATAAAAAATAGTCCAATCACAAGCCGCGCTTCTTTTGTTGAATCTACCCAGCTGTTGCGTAAGCTGAACAAGTTTCGCTAAAATATTTTCTCGAGATTTCACTCGAAGATTTATCAAAACTAATTCAAATACTTATGGTCAGAATTATTTTGGATAAAACAGGAACGTGCGAGATAAACATCAGTTTGGAAATGAGCAACTAGTGTCCTTTACTCAGTCACTGTAAAAATTCTGAGCTTCAATCTGTTAGACCACAGCGACACTGTAATTTGAGCTAACGCTCACCTATATTAAATCTCATCGGGTGAAAAGTCTTTCGTAACGTGCACCACAATATTATTATTAGTATAGACAAGCAGTATAAGATCGCGGAAATGTTAAGTTGTTTGCAGTGAAGTTGAGTTTTCCGTGATTATTATCGAGTGAATTTCGTTCCGTAGCGTAGGATCACATTTTTAAAAAATGACCGATAAGCAGGAGACTGCGAATAAAACAACAGATGAGCAGCATAAACGCCAGTCATTGGTTAGTACATATATTTAGCAGTTGTTCGAGTATTAAAATATCTAAATATTTTATCTGTGTTAATGGATGGAATTTATGTCTCACAATGTAATAATTCTATGGCAAGAAGAAAAGAACGAAAATTATCAAAATATTTTTAAATTCTAGATTTTGCTATTTACAGTTTTTCCGAAAATATTTTGTCAAATTGCGCCCAGCTAGATATCCTTACTAGCCTGTACATTTGTTGTAGATACAAAATTTATGTTTATCCCTCATATATGCATCAGCAGCTATAAAAATTATATTAATTTTTGATTTGTATTATATTGGAAATAATTACTTCAAACTGCGGAGTTAAAGAACGTATTTTAACTATTATGTTCTCAGTTGTTTACTGTTGTATAATTGATCCTTTCTGCAGTATAATTAAACTTTTGAAAAACAAATTCTGTCTTGAAAAGTTTTTATTCTTTTATAATTTGTATACTTTAATTTCAGGTGGACGCAGCAGTTATTTTTCTTCTGAATCCTGAAGTGTATTCTAAACCAAATGAAAAAAAAGTAGCCTTCCTGAAAAGCAAAGGTTAACTATATGTGTAAAAATAATTTAATTTTTCAAAATATATTATTGTATATTATTATTATGTGAGCAATTCTTGCATTTCAATCAGTAAGGGGTTTTCTTAAGTTTGTAAAATTAGTATAACTTTTATTATAGAGAACTCTCGTGTATTTTTATTTATAAAAATTTCATATGTAAATACTTCATGAATGGTAAAACAATTACATAAACATCAGTGTACTATAGAGCAGTGATATGGAATATATGCTCATGTAAAAGTTTGGGTTACTGTATATAGTTGTAATTTCAATCTAAATACGAGTTCAAATTATGGCAGTCTGTATAATTTTACAAACAACAGAAGAAAGCTAAATTAAGTAAAATTTAAATTCAGATTGAGCTCAGATTTACATGAAATGTATGTGTATTAAGGATGGCTCAAAAACATCTTTTTCAAGGAGGAGAGATAATTTTCAATTAAGTTGTTCTTTTAATTATATTTATCAAGAAATATTTTGGCTTTCAGAGTTGTACTTGTTAACCTTTCTCAAAGTGCACAGAATTTTTCTGTGTAATTAATTAATTTTTCCATAATATTAGTATTCAGATTAGTAAATTTTTATTTTATACATTAATTTGACATTGTATTTTATCTGTTTATGATTAGGTACACTATAATTATATAATTACCCATAATAGTACCTTATAAATTAATAGCCACTATTTTATCTGAAGCAAAGGCTCTTTATAGTATAATTTGGAGTGTGAGATATATTTTCCAGCATAATTAAACTGATTGCATGGGTAGTTTTTTTTTTTTTTTTTTTTTTTTTTTTTTTTTCCCTCCTTCTGAGATGAAATATAAGCAAATTTTGGTAAAAATATATTTCAGGGTGCCCCTTAGCAATTTTTTGGTGCCATTCCTGTTTTGATCCAATGCCCATCCCAGTAAAATTACCTCCAAAACATAATTAAAACAAGCAATAAAAGTTTACAATTGGGCACTCCTTGTTTTTCTGGCGATTTTTTTTTACGACAAAATCGGCACCAGGAAGGCACAATTTCAAGATGGCTGCTACACAAAACCAAAAGAAGTCGAAGAATTGCACAAACTCGGTGTCTGTGTACACTTCGATCTATCTGCACTTTAAAAAACATCAGAGAATTGCACAAATTTTGCATTGCACACTTACTTGACTTTGTCCATACCATAAATGAAACAACAACTTGGCAGTAAACCAAGGGACACCCTAAAGTATAGGCTAAATTTCTTGTAGGAAAGGGTTTTAAGAAGTTCCCTTCCCATAAAAAATTACTCTGGCTTTCTTTTTTTGTTTTTGTAATTAAATGCTTATCATAAAATATGTGAACTTGAAATCCACTGGCTGTGTTACATTAGCTATCATTTATTAGCTTTATAATTTGCATTGTATACCAAACATGTGTCTTTATCATCACGTCATAACAGCTAAGTATAAAATATGATATTATTCCAGCACACCAGTATATAGTACGTATCTATAACTTCAAACTACATTTTTTTAATGTTTAGGTGTATTTGCCATGTAACATATTTCCTTTTCTTTATGAAGAAACCTGAAAGATGCTTTTCTTTTGAAGTCTTTCATTTTATGATTTTCTTAGCCTTTCAAACAATGGTTTTTGAATTGACAAACTGAAAAGGGAAGCAAAATGTGTGTGGGGGGGAAGGCTTAAGGGAATTAATAATTCTGCAAATTGTTTTTGTTTTTAATGCAGGTGTACACAAAGATATTATTGTAGGGTTTTGAGAAAAGGGGGACATTATTTGAGGTAAGAATGCACTTTCGACCCGAATGAATGTGAGGAATTAGAAGATAGTTTTCTGTCTAGTGAAGTGTAGATAGTTTTCTCTTTCTGTAATCATTTGAAGTGTAGGGTTTGAAGTTTCTGTAATAATTGCGAGTAGATAATAAAAGCATGGAATGAAATTAAACCCAATAAAGTTCAAATGTCATTAAAAAATGTAGTATATCTAACAATCTAGATGGAAAAGATGATGATTTTATATTTATGGATCAGAATGAAGTGGTGAAGATGAAATCGAATTCAGTAATGTGCGGAAGATCTAAGACGAATATGGCAAACTTTTTGTGTTATCAGATAAGGAAATATTTTAATTTCATATGGAATGCATTTCTTTTTAAAAACAGCGTTTAGATACATGTGAAAATATAATTTTTGTATGCTGATCTTTTGATTATTTTTAAATCTGTCATTTTTATTCCAATGTATAACACACACCTGTAAATTTTGATCTTATATTTTGTATTAAAAGTGTACATTATATATTGGAATATTTGGTTATCAAAACTGCAATGTAAATTTTAAGAATTGCATATAAATACATAAAAATAAATAGTGTTTATTGATAATGTATTAACTAGTACCTCCATATTCAAGATTAAGATATTCCAGAATAAATGATAAAATCCACTGAGAATTGACATTTACAACTTTTCCCCTTATTCGCTGACTGAAAAAAATCAGAATAATGTATCTTAATATATTACCTTGATTCTCTATATCTGGTAGAGCACTAATAAAATATTGTATATATACTATGTTGCATGTATTTTCAAGCAATAACAGTACAATACATGTGATGCTTTTGGTCACAGTGCTCTATGAGAAATATAAGTCTTAATAAGTACATATTTGTATTTATGGGCAGTATTGCTGTGAGAAGATGGTAATACTGTACAAAGTCCGAGGTCCGGATGTCCAATATATCTAGAATAATCTAAAATCTAGACCTCAAAGATACTAAAAAATTTTTTATTTATTTATTGTGTATGCTTAATGCATGCACATTTGATCGAGTCTGATTCTTAATTTGACTTTGGCACTAAATAAAATACTTCATTAGTGAAGAAACGATCATTTTAGCATAAATTTGTGTGATCAATAATTTGACTCTGTAGATGCATATCTGCTTGGCATACATCTCAAACCGAAACATTCTACATAGATACATCATTGATTTTATACCTACTAATATTTTACATTCCTGATGCCAACCTGGGGGAATCATTATTATATTTTGCTTTCATCACCACTCAAGTTGTTGTGTTTATCAGCATAACAACTTGAGTAATGACTCATGTAGCAATGCCTAAACAATTTTTTTGTGTTAGTAACTGAATAATAAATAAAGAGTATGATAATAACCTTTTATATTGACATTACGCGTGGCAATGATTACAGATTTAAGTTAAATGCGCTAAAAAATTTTGATGAAGAATAATTTTTTAAAAAATTCTTTCCGTTTGTTTGTTTGTTAAAGATACTCATAGGCCAAAAGATTACATTTAGTGCTATTAAAATTAAGAATAACCAATTTGATTAAAAGATTACATTTAGTGCTATATAAATTAAGAATAAATCCAGAACCAGTGCCAGGGCTCATATGGCCGCACTGGGCAGCAGAATTTAGGAAGCGCCTGGCAGAATTTAGGACTCGTAGAGACTACATCAGATAGTAAGATATCTAGCACTGGCCCTCAATAAGATATAAGTATGTGTGGGAATTTATTTATTCAGGACTTAGATAAGGCTTAAGCATATGCAAGGAATAGACATAAGTATAATAAATAACTAATATACACTGAAGTGACAAAAGTCATGGGATAGCAATATGCAAATATACAGATGGCAGTAGTATAGCATAGAAAATGTATAAATGCGAAGTGCTTTGGCAGGGGCCTTTCATTTGTGTTCAAGTTATTTTGTGAAGAGGTTTTGTTGACGTGATTTATGGCCGCACGACGAGAATTAACAGACTTTGAACACGGAATGGTAGTTGGAGCTAGACGCATGGGTCATTCCATTTCGGATATTGTTAGGGAATTCAACATTCCGAGATCCACAGTGTCAAGAGTGTGCCGAAAGTATCTAATTTCAGGCATAACATCCCACCATGGACAGCGCAGTGGCCGACCACCTGCACTTAACAACTGAGACCAGCGATGTCTACATAGAGTTGTCAATGTTCACAGACAAGCAGCACTGCATCAAATAGCCACAGAAATCAATGTGGGACGTACAAGGGACGTGTTCGATAGGACAGTGCGGCAGAAGATCGACTCGAGTGCCTTTACTGACAGCACGACATCGCCTGCAGCGACTCTCGTGGGCTCGTGAGCATATCGGTTGGTCCCTAAATGAATGGAAAACTGTGACTTGGTCAGATGAGTCACGATTTCAGTTGGTAAGAGCTGATGGTAGGGGTTCGAGGTGGGCGCAGGACCCCACGAAGACCCAATGGACACCAAGTTGTAAACTGCACTGTTAAAGCTGGTGGTAGTTCCATAATGGTCTGGGGATTTTACATGGCATGGACTCAGTCCTCTGGTGCAACTGAACCGATCATTGACTGGAAATGAATACCTTCAGCTACTTGGAGATCATTTACAGCCATTCATGGACTTCACGTACTCAAACAACGGTGGGATTTTTTTGGATGACAATGCGCCATGTCACCAGGCCACAATTGTTTGCGATTTGTTAGAAGAACATTCTGGACACTTCCAGTGAATAATCTGGCCACCTAGGTCGCCCGACCTGAATCCGATCGAACATTTATGGGACATCATCGAGAGGTCAGTTTGGCCCCAAAACCCTGCACCGTCAACACTTTCACAATTATGGACGTGCATACCTGCCAACTTTTGCGAATTTTTCGTAATTTTTACGAAAATGCATTTGTCTTTACGATTTTACGATCGTAATCCATTTTTTACGATTTTTTTCCTTTTTCAAGTGTTTTTAGTGATTTTTGTCGAAATTTTAGAATTTTTCGGCAGTTCAGCGATTTACGCCAATTGCATCGTGTTTTACCGACTACTTCGAATCCAGTAACCTCCCAACTCGCCGCTTAACCAGCCAATCCAATGCGCTGAACTTCTTTCTCCCGCTCTTTTCTTTGTGGGCGCCAGATTTTTTTTCCCGCGTTCGCTTCAGTAGCAAGGGAATGACTCAGCGAGCGTGGATTGTCGCATTCTGTTTTTTTTTTGTTTGCACGTGCTACGAATTTTCTTAATACATCGTTGTTACGAAATGAGTGAACTACAGAACCAATTTTCTGCTGCACAGTTTGAAGACTTTGCCAGTTCTGGAGAAGATAGACTTGATGTCCTCATTCGTACCTTAAAAAGAATAAAAAGAGATGATGGAACACCAAAATATGATAGACTAGCAAGTGCTATTCTTGTAATTCCACACAGTAATGCTGAGTGCGAGAGAGTCTTCAGTATTGTGAAGAAAAACAAAACTATGTTTCGTTCTTCAATTTCACCAAAAACTCTAGAAAACATTTTAATTGCTAAATGTTATGAGGAAACTAATTGTTATGACAGAAATTTTCCAAAGAATTTTTGGTTAAGCCAAAAATGCACTCTAAATTCATAATATTTTTGTATAACATTAAGTTCTTTTTTATGTTTTCTAATAAAATTTTAGTTACTACTTAATTGAGATTTACTAATGTAAGTAAATTTTCTTTTTTTTATTTGTATAAAATTGTTATTTTTTTAATATCAAAGCATGATATTAATTCTTCGTGTTCTTCTGAATTTGGGGGAGAAATCTTCTGAATTTTTATCTTTAGAGGTTGGCAGGTATGGACGTGTGTAGAGGCAGCATGGCTCAATTGCTGGGGACTTCCAACGACTTGTTGAGTCCATGCCACGTCGAGTTGCTGCACTTTGCCGGGCAAAAGGAGGACCGACAAAATATTAGGAGGTATCCCATGACTTTTGTCACTTCAGTGTAATTCAGGCTTAATTGTCTTGGTGCATGATAGAAGCAAGGTAAAATTTAGTGGAACAACTTGTCTTTACCACTATCATGATACGCCAAATATATATAATGAACGATAGCTAAATGTTATGATGGTAGCCACAAATTTTAAGTGGTTTTGGATATTGCAAACCAAAGGTGAAAATTTCCAATTAATGGATTTCGTAAAGAAATATGGAGAAGCAGTAATAAATGAAGATGATATAAAAGAAGTTTTTCATTGTGATGATAATTCTTCTCAATTATCAATCAGTTAATGAATTACAAAATCTGTAGTATGGTGTTAGATCCTGAAAATACACTACTGATAGTGAAGAAAGTGATAGAAAGGTTACTGAAAATGAAAAAATTTTGATTGACAAGTTAGTTGGAATTCTCACCACAGCAATTACAGGACTTCAACAATGTAACTGAAGAAGAAATTATGTCTGTCTGCAGAATTAAAGAGAAAGTATTAGCACAAAAACAAAGCAATTTAAACAACTTGCATTGAAAGAAATGTTTAATAAACTAAACAAATAAATATTAAGCTTTTTGTGTATGTGTGTGTGTAAATTTTGACATCCTTTAGATCATAAATGCTTCATTATTTCATAAATCACAATTTCATATTTTTATTTTATCTAATATCCAGAAAAATTCCAGACACGGAATCGAAGTCCCTACGAGTCGAGATCTCAGACTTTCTACTATATGTGTTTTAACTTTTATAGTTCCCTATATTATGATTCATCTTTCATTGACACACTTTTGAACTTTATCCAGAAGTTTATGTAATATTTATTTTATTATTATACTGTTAATTTTGAGAAGTATTTCAGGCAGGCAATAACTTAATATCATGAAGTAAGTTTTAGTAATTTATTATGAAACATTACATATCGTTAATATTGCGTACCAAGGGGATTTCATAGTTTTTTTTTTTTTTTTTTTTTTTTTTTTGTGGGGGGGGGGGGGGGGGGGGAATGTAGTCGGCTTTTTATTTAGCTGTTAAGTATTTCATTTTAGGTTATGAATGTAAAAAACTACTTTAATTCCAGTATTGGTATTTATCAACATTTTCTACATTTCTTATAGTTTAATTTATGAAACACATTAAGAAATCATCTAAATCAACATAAATGTATATATTTATTTTTCAAGTTTTGTAAAGGAAGGGTTAATGATCTTCTAGCAATGGTGAAAGGGTGCATGGGACAAAAATAACTCAGAACCCCTGGTACATACAAATTAATTTTGTTTTACTTGTACATCACAGTGTGTATATATATTTCATGCATGCATTTCATTGCATCATCTGTCATTTCATTAAATTATCAAGGCCGTCAATCATTTATATTAATTGCAAATTTTTTTTTTGCTAATATTTGATTGAGGGGGGTTTGTACCCATTTTGTGCTCACTCAGTCTCCTTTGGAATTAATATAAAATTATTACAAATAAATCAATACTACAGTACTAAAGGTAATTAATTACATTTTGTGTTACAGAATGGAAACAAATCCATCTAATCTCATATTAATGGTAACAGTGATGTGGTGAAATTAATTATTGGGAGAACAAGTAAATCTCTGCTGTTTGTTATCAAAAGTTAGGCATTTATGGTAAAAAAAATGGTACGTTATGTTTTCTTCAAAGTATTGACCATCTCTAGCCACTACTTTTCCACATCTTTCTGAGAGCATATGGATACCACCTTGGAAGAAGGCTTCATCTTTCAAGGCTATATATAAATCTACCTTATTTTTAGTATCTTCATATAATGTGCTGCTGAAACAGATCATGAGTTATCAATCGAAACAAGTAATAATCAGAAGGAGCAATGTCTGGTGAATGTAGCAGGAGGGGAGAAACTTCTCATTTGACCATTTCCAAGTTAAGGTTTCACTGGTGCTGCAACATGTGGATGAGCAGGAGAAGAATAATATCATGTCTGAAGTCGTAGTGGGCACATTTTGCTATGAATGCTCTGCTCAGTCTCATTAATTGTGTTTGGTAGAGAGCCCCAGTAACACTTTTATTCGATTTGGGTAACTCATAATACATAACATCAAGATTATCCCCCATAATACACAATATGATTTTTTTTCATGAATATTTGGCTTGGCTGTCGATGTTGAAGTGTGGCCAGGTAGTCCCCATGATTTCTTTGGCTTACTGGATCCATTTTTCATCACCACTGACTATATGATACAAAAAAGAAACCTTTTGTTTATGTCTGGCAAGCAGCGTTTCAGGTGTAAAAAATTGCATTCAGTGTTTCTTAACTTCTTTTCCCCTTTCGTTCTAAATCGTACAGAAACTTCAAATTAATTTTACTACATTCAGCCATTCTACCGTCTAAACAATAACCAAGACACACCACAAAAGTGCTTACAAAACCAAGACTCAAAATTTCCCAGAATCATGCACCCGATTACATCACAATAGGGTTTCCATAACATTCAACTACTCAGGCTTCCATAAATGAAACAACAAGTTGGTGATAAATGAAACAATAACTTCGCCATAATACGAGGGGTACCTTAAAGTCTACTCTAACCAAATAAACTGCTAATGTAGCCACTTCTAATGTAAGTGCAAGTTCTACTTACATTTGGCATGAATCTTCATCCAGTAATACTTCCAATTCTGCATCTTTGTCCACTCCTTCCATTACATTCTTTGTCTTCAACATCAAATTCACAGTTCTTAAACCACTCATGACAACTTTTCTCACATGAGGCAGCCTTACCATACAAATAATCAATGCACCTCAGCTGTAGATTTCTTCAAATTAAAGAAGTAACTCAAAAGTTTCTGCAAATGACACTCATTTGGCTCAAAACTCGACATTTTCGCACAAAATATATGATGCTGATACAAAATCGCTAATATTTCAAGGTTATGTTGTTAGCAGATGGCCAACCTTATGAAATGAGGTTTTGCATCAGACAGTTTTAACCATAACTAACTGGTGCCACCATGGAGACTTATTTGTATTCCCAATTTAAAAAAAAGTAAATTCAATCTATTTTTAAAAAATACAGCTCTGTGCACAAAACTTATAATCATTGTAGTTTTTTTTAAATATTTTGCTTTATTTAAATGATAAAAATATAAGAAGTTGATATTTTTCTTTCCCTTCAACGATATAAACAAATTAAAGTGTAAAAGATCAAAAATTAATTTCTTATATTTCATGCCAGCATTAACTGAAGTTTCCTTATAATATAATATTTCTCAAAATAATTTTAAAATCTTTTTATATGTGTATTTTAAATATAAAAAAGATGTGGACTTACATTGTTCAATTTCAAAGTATTTCATGAAATGGCAATTATAGGAAATATTGCGAGGAGATAATTAAAAAACTACTTATTTCTGTAAATAGAAAAATGGATCTGAAGAAATGCAGGATCTAAACTATTTACTGATTATAATAATTATTAAAGGACTGCAGTATATCACTTTCTATTCATTTTTGTCAGAAGCGTGTAAAATTATTTAAAGTATTTTAGATTCTTATTTGTTAATCACTAAAAGATAATTTTAATTTCTTGCAGGTATGTCAGATTCTGAAATTGCTTTAGCTTTCGAAAAAGCTGATCGTTATCCACCAGATCATCCTGCCCAAACTGTGAAACGACTTGCTTCGTATAGACCTTTGCCCCCACCTTTGCCTCCAGTACAGACTTATTCTTTTTGGTCACAATTTAATAGAATTAGTACTTCAATCTTAATTTTAGGTGTTGCTTTATTTGGTTTCCATCGATTTTATCAGGTAAGGATTTTAATACGCACATTATCTTTTGTGTGTGTATGTGTGTTTGTGTGCATGTATGTGTTGTTTTTTCACTTGAGAAGTTGGGAAAATTATAACACACTAAATATTTTTGTTGTTTACTTCATTTCTTAAAATGTATTTCTCTATATGTGGTTTGTTTTTTTTTTTTTTTTTTTTTTTTTTTTTGTGTGTGTGTGTGTTATAAAGCATTCTTAAGAGGAAAATGTTTCTTCTCACTTTGTAAAACAGACTAACTTTTCTTAAAATATTCTGTTCATGGAGGCATCCTTTCAAGCATGTTTGAAGAAGAGATCTTGGCAGTAAAAATAATTTGCCTATCTTTTTGCATACATTATACAGTACAAAGTCCGAAATCCGGACGTCCATTATCCAGAATGATCTAAAATCCGGACCTCAAAACCACCAACTGTTTTCTTGTAGGCTTTACGCATGCGCATTTGATTCCTCCCCTCCGCGCATAATAAAACATCTGGAGAGTCTCGATTCTTCGCTTCGACACTAAAAAAAAATACCTTGTTATTGAAGAAACAATCATTTTAGCATTAATTTGTATGATCAGTAATTTGTTTTCGTTGCTGCATAGCTGCTTGGCATACATCTCAAACCAAAACATTCCACATAGAGACATTGGTGATCTGACACCAGCCTGGCGAATCATTATTTATTTTATTTTCCTTTCATCACTGCATGTTTATCAAAACATGACAAATTGAGTAATGACTTATGTAGAGATGCCTAAACATTTTTTTTTTTTTTTTATGTTAGTAATTGAATAATAAAGGAGTGTGGTAACCTTTTATGTTGACATTACACTTGGCGATGATTACAGATTTAAGTTAAATGCGCTAAAAAATGTTGCCAAGGAAAAATTTACCAAAAATTTCTTTCCATATGCTAAAACTAGATTTTGTTGATGATATTCATACACCCAAAGATTACATTTAGGGCTATTTGAATTAAGAATAACTGATTTGTTATTCACATAAACCCAGAACCAGCGCCAGGGCTCAGATGGCCACACCGAGTAGCAGAATTTAGGACCCACAAAGGTATCATCAGACGATAAGATATCTAGCGCTGGCCCTCAATAAGGCTTAAGTATATGGTGAGAATTTATTTATTTAGAACTCTGATAAGCCTTAAGCATGTCAGGGGTGTTTGTGCTCCGGGGATTTTGAACTTCGATACCCGGAAATTCCGGGGATTGTCATTCAAAGGGAAGTAGGAATTATAATGAATTATTTATTTTGATCTGGGTAATTTTGTTTGCTTTGGAAGCAGAAAACTCAAGGTCAGTGTGTGTGGTGAAAACTTTTCCTTTCTTTCTCCAAAGGCAGTGATAATGCATGAAAAGGGGTTGAAAAACTTCTTTTTTGTTCTTTCCTTATTGTGAGTTATGACTCATTCCCCCTGGTTCTCGGACATTCTCTTCTGGATTCTTTTCAGGCAAGTAGGCGCGGCAGAAAAAAAGAAAAAAAAAAAAAAAAAAAAAAAAAAAAAAAAAAAAAAAAAAAAAAAAAGGGAGAGAGACTTCGTTCGACCAGATGTGCAATCACGTGACTCTGGGTTCAAAGGTCTTATCTCTTCTGCCGTGGTGCCAATAAGTAGAGAAGGGGGATTTTTCGCTGTATTAGCTATTTGTCATTGATCGCTTCTCAACTTTTTTTTCTCCGCTGTGTAAAATTTTCGTTTCATTTATTGATGGACGTGTAAATTTTTCGTTTCGTTTATTGAAATATTTTTTTATTTATGTACGCAAGAGAATTTCACTATAAAATTTCTCGATATAAATAGTGATATTATACAATTAGAAGAAGGTGTCCGGAATGCATTTAGGTGGAATTGGATTGAACGGAGAGATGGTAATGGGGATTTACCATCGGCACATGGTGCAAGAAAATAAATGTTGCTGGACAAGCATATTGTGTTTTTTTGTAACTCACTGCTGAAGTATGGTGGGGAAGGATTCAAGGCTTTCACAAATCATTCTAAAACTGTGACGCACGTAAAAATTCAAAGTGCATTAGACATTCAATGACTTTAAGTAATTATGCTAATTCAAAAATACTGATGACTTACTGGAGAGACTGATGCTCGGCCATTGGATATAGTGACAAGAAAAGCACGCCAAGAGGTATCACCTAGAATTCTCTTTCTTTCAATGTAGCTCCCAATTTAATTGAACTCTGCAAACAGTTGAGCCGCGATCAGACGGCACTAAACTCGTTGGAAATGTCCAGGACTACTGCATGTTCTAAGATGAAATATGGGCTCGCAAAAACTATTAAGGAAAATATCATTAAAACTTTAAAGGAGACTCCATTTTCTTTCAATTTAAAATATTTACATAAAATGTAGTAGTTTATATGTTTGAAAATTTATGGATATTAATTTTGCAAAAAAAGTAATTCATTGAACTTTTATAATTAGGTCATTCAATACTTCATAATTGTAATTTTTCATTTCTCTCCCCCCATCCTTCTCGAAACTCCAAAATGTCAGTAGTAAGTCCATAAAAGTTTCAGGGGATTTTTTGGGGTCTCACAATCACCCCTGGCATGTGCAAGAAATAGACATAAATTTAATAAATAACTAAGCTAATACAATTCAGGCTTAATTGTCTCAATATAAGCAAGATAAAATTTAACGGAACAACTTCTCTTTAGTCGCCAAGCTCATGATGCATAGCCAAATATATATAGTGAAGGATAGTTAAATTTGATGATGATAGTTGCTAATTTTAAAGGTTTTCGGATATTGAAAAACAAAGGTGAAATTTTCCAATTAACAAATTTTGTAAAGAAATGTGGAGAAGTGGTAATAATTGATGATATGAAAGAAGTTTTTCATTGTGATGACAATGCTCCTCAATCATCTATCAATTAATGAATGGCAAAATCTGAAATATGGTTCTAGATCTAGATAATACTGCTACCGATAGTGAAGAAAGGGACAGAGAAATTCACAATTCACTATATCGAGTTTAAGCAAAAGTTTTCCTGCCACTGCAATAATCGTTTTGCGCAAACAGTTTGCATTGCCGTGTTTAATCATATTTTCTCAAATGAATTTTGGCATTTGAAAGAGACTTGTTTTAGAACACTGTGTTGTGAAATTTTTAAAAAAATATTGTTATCATTAAGTACAAGGTGTCTGAAATGGAAGTATTATGCTACCAGATTAGAACCATCATTTACTTCCAGTTCTGTTGCAAAATTTTGGCTACAAAATGTCACCAAATCATGTGTACAGCTTTAGGTACTAATGCTGTATTTTATGACATTGTGAAGGTTTGGTGCTTAAAGTTTAAAAAAAAAAGAACTATGACATACAAGAAGCAGAGCTCTGTGACTGGCCTACTGATATTGATGAAGCCTGCTGTGAGACCTTGTGTAAGATCAGTATGCAACCACTGGAGAGCTTGCTAAGGAGTTAGACGTTAGTGCCATGTCATTAGTTGCGCTATGCATCGCATGAACTTGACATACATGTTCAATCGACGGGTGCCACACAAGTTGGCTCAAGCAGATAAGGACATAAGTTTTGGGGCCTGCTCTAATCTGCTCAAATATGAATGCAAAGACAAAATTCTCCTCCACATAATCACTTGTGATGAAAAGGGGGTTGGTCTGTGCCTGGTGAGCCTGTCGGCAGCATCGCAAAGTGCAATTTGACTAATAAAAGGATCATGCTTTGTATCTGGTGTTATTACTGTATTATCAACAAAGAATATCTGAGAAAAGCTTGATAGTAAGTTGTACAGTGAAGTGCTAGTCCGTCTTGATACTGCTATCAAGGAAAAACATCAAATTGAGTTCCAGCACAAAAAGGTAATGTTCTATCAATGTAATGCAGGACCACATGTGTCTGCATTCAGCGGCTGGACTGGTACGAACTTGAATGGGATCTTTTGCCACAACCAGCATATAGCCCTGACATCGCTCCTTCGAACTCCTACATTTTCTTTCACACCTGCAGTTAAGTCTTGCTGGTACTATCTTCCATTCAGCACAGGACATCCGAAATGAGGTTAATCTGTTTTTGGACTCGCGGCCATCAAGTTTCTAGGTTGAAGGCTTTGGAAAACTACCAAAATGATGGCAGAAAATCATAGATTTTGAAGGTGATTACCACCTGCACTAAAGTTACTTCTTTTATGTCTCTTCCTCCCCCGGCTTTATTAAGAATGTTTCTCAGTGGAAAATTTTCATTACAACCAAATATTACTGAACCCATGAATATGTAACCAGGTCATCAGTATTTTACATTCTAAGAGCTTTGAAATTGTCAGCTAATACCAGTGCAAATGTTGTTGCCATGTAATCAAATAATGAATTTCACCTCAGACAGAAAGCATTATTGGCCTGATCAGTGATGTGGTCTCCGTCAGGAAAATGAAATAGCTGGTAGACTGACTGCACATATGCTATATATGTTGCATTAGTTAAAAGCCTCAATTTACAAAAAGCTTATTTATAATTTATTTACACTTCTCTTTACATACATTGGAGTTTGTTCTCATGGATGCCTTTCTTCTAACAGATAGCATATACTCAGTAACCAGAATCAAATATTACAAAACAAAATTAGCTTAATAAGTGCTGCCATCTCTTGGCAAATTATCAAATTATTCGCAGCTTGCATGAATATATTTGAATATAAGCCCCAGTAGGATTTTAAAATTAGAAAATTGGAAAAAATAAATGCTTGACAGTGAATTTAAATCCATTGCAATTTTAAAATTAAAACAATGATCAAAATGATTTTATAATAGATACCAAAAACTACCTGTTATCATTTTAAGACCTTAATTATTTAAGACTTGATTGAGGAGTGATAGATTAGCAGAAGTAAGTCAAGATATTTGCTTTGAATTTTATATTCTGTTGATTATTAAACCATTTGAATATATTTATATTTCCCTAGTTGTATTATTAAGTTAATGTAAAATTCAAAGGGAATGTAATTTAATTATTAATTCAGCATAAATAAGTTAAATGCTTGTTAATTTGGCTACAAGTCATATCCTAGTTTTGATGATTTAAAAATTTAAATAAAATGTGCAACTTAATTTTAAAAAGCTTTATTATAAAAAATTGGGCATTGCATACATGCATATTATGACATACATATTCTACATGTCAACTGTATATTTTTTCCAAAAGACAATCAATAAACCTAGTTACAATTGAAGTTTTGTTTTTGTTATGGTGGAAAATCAGTTGCAGAAAGAATTGAGAAAGAATTCAAAACATTATTCATTTAGTAATTTCGTGACAAAATAATGTATTTCTGCAGAAATTTCACCTCTTTCTTCTATTATAGGAAAATCCTACAAGCAAAAATTTTAAAATCGAATTTAAGATGAAGAAAAAAATTATGCAAGAGCCATTGGAACTTGGAATACAATAAAAAGGATGCAGAGAAAATGGCAGTGTTGAAAACTTAATGTTTGTCATGTGCATGGTTGCTTGAATAATTGTTATGAACGTGGTTACTAGACTTTGGTTAATTCTGAAGCTTTGATGATTTCTACTAAGGTGGTTGCGATAATATGTTAGCACAGAAAATTTAGTGTTGCGTAAATGCAGAACAAAAAAAAAAAAAAAAAAAATGTGATGTAATATCAAAATTCCATTTGATTGAAACTGTTTCTTTGACCATGGGATGACCAACATATTACAAAGACTGTAAACAACTTCTGCTTAAAATCATTATCAAAGAGATTATAAAAAAAAATGCCCATTTAATATTCTTGGTTTATTCTTGTTTTAAAAGGAGTGGGAGATTTTTATAATCTATGAAGATTTTTGAATTATGCGAGAGTCAATAAATAAGTTGTAAGAGCTAACAAAGATGTAATTATCAGAAAAATAGAGCTGTTTTTGAAAAATTGCGAAAAGTCGGTAAATTATATTGGAAATTCAGAACAAACTTTCTTTAAAATAATTTGTACTGCTTTATTTGATGATGCAAACAATGAAATTACAAGTTTGGTTGTTTGTCTAAAAATAGAGAATACATGTGGAAAATCCCCAAAAAAATTGCTTCAACATTACATTTTTAAAAAGACTAGCACATCTTTACTGTCTGCATAGCATGTTTACAAAATTTCATAGGTCTGGGCTTATCCATTTCTGCATTATGCAACAAACTCTAAAACTTGCATGTTCTTTATTTTATGAAAGACATACTGAAGTTTAGAAATGTATCAAATTATGTAAAACGTATGAATTAAATCATCACTATTCAGGAAAGATTGGTTATAATTAATATTCCCTTTAAATCAGACATAAAAGACTATTTAAATTATGTATGAAAGGCTAAATATACTGATCACGTTTCTGCTGTGTGATAAGTTTTTACCCAACCCAATCTTATATTGATTAAAAAAAACTTACTATATCCTGAAAATCTTGTTTGTGTAATGTTTCATTTGTTTTCCCTTGTTTAACCCTTTGACGGGCGGCGGGACACCTCTTTTTTATCAGTTTTTTTCTCCCAGATGAAAGCTGCAAAATTCCATTTAAAATACATACAATTATGCCTTTTAGTTCTCTAAATGTATAACAGATAGCAGCACTAATATTCATTTGTGAAAATAATGTAAAATAAAAATTCTTTGCAGATCTCATTTTCAAGCAGTTTTTTTTTATTTATTTCTGATCCAATTTAAATCCTCTGAACAACAACTTTTTGTGTTAGAATGAATATTTTTATGTGAAAGTTTCCTTTGCTAAAAAAATTATTATTTGAATTCATATATATTAATTAAGAATGGTTGAAATTAAAAGGTGGGACCAAATACGTCCCACCACACATGTAGGAATTGCTGCTACTAGATGGCAGCACCATTCAAATATTTTAAATTCAAATATCGTGTCCGTTTTATATTTTTATAATGAATTTTTTTTAATAAATTGCAATAATATTAAAACTTGAAAAATATTTAGTATTTTTTCCAAAAGAAATGAAAATATAACTCTGTAACATGAAATGTCATTGAATACTGAATGGATATGTATGTGTGATTCACCATAGAAAAATATCCTAAGCAGAGGAAAGAGAGGTGAAATGTAAATCATGGCGGCCTTCTAAATATCTTCTTTTTCAGACATGCAGCAAATAAAGTACTGAAGTGAAAATCTTCTCCGTTTCAAATCTATTATGAAATCATTAAAAGATATCTAAAAAGTTATACAGAGATAGATTTTTTTTAATTATGTAATTTTTTTAAATATTTTTTATTTTGTGAATATGATCAATATTTTCTAGATAATTATTCAAAAACGTTTTTTATATCTTGCATTTTTTATTTGATTGCTTAAACTAGCACTATAAGCATAAACTATTTAACTATAAGCATGTTAGGAGAATTTACGCTGTGGCAAAGGTGCATTTTACTGCTCTAGGGACAAGCGGTATCCCACCATGTCATGAAGTCCTTAAAGGTTTACCTGTTCTTTTTTTTTTGCATGAAATAACATTGTATTAGGAGCTAGTTATCTATGTGTAAAGTTATTTTTTCAAAAAAAAAAAAAAAAAATTATGCACCGAACCTCAAAGAGTTAAAATTTAGTTTCTTGATTGGTATTTGTAAGTTAGCCTTTAAATGATAATTTATTTGGTGTATTAGATTAAATTTTTGCCATCATTGTGTGTATCATAGTTTTAACTTTATTGATCAATTATCTGAAAATTATTTCTGATTTTGTAATAAAAGTGTGTTTATGAATACTAATGCTGTATTTTTAGCTGTACATTGAACCCTGGCTTTTTGGGAAAGAAACCGAAGCAGATCGATTAATTCGAATGGAAAAGCAACTTACTGAAGTTAACTCTTCTATAGCTCAACTGAGGGAAACTATATCTGTTTTAGAGGGAACTATTAATAACCAGAAAGGGAAAATTGACAAATTTGTTCAAAGTGAGGTTAGTTACATGGAAATCAGGTTTACATAATACAATTTACATACATTTTATTGTCTAAACTTGATTTTTTCCAATATAATTTTGTGTTTCCTTATAAAGCTGACAACTATGGAAACAGAAGAAATTGTAAGTAAGAAGTATAGTATATGCATAATATAATTTTATTTAGAAACTAATATTGTTCAGAGAAACTTTTGCTGTTTGTGCTTGTTCAACTTGGAAAACCTTTCATTACTTTCTGATTATCTGCACTCCCCTCTCGAAAAATGTCCAACTCATTGGTGATTGATTTTTTGCCAAGCGACAGTCATTTTCAAAATGAACCAAATTAAAAATTCCATAAAAGAGCAATCAATCAATAAAATTTTAAAAAGAATACCTGTGATAAAACGTTTAAATTGAATAAATGCAATATGTTTGCATTTCTTAATAGTCTAATATATTAATATACATAAAATTGCTTAATTTGTTTTATTCTTATCAAGAAACTTAATTTGTTTTTATCCTAATACAAATTAAATATTAAATATGTCATGATACATTGAGATTGAACATGGATATAAAATCTATTGAACATACTTAAAATTTGTGCAAAAGGTTAATAATGACAATAATTATTAATTCATTTTTATTTCAAATGCTAATAGAAATTTGTGGCCAGAAATATATTTAATGACTTTTTAACATATGCATATGTAAGATACAATAACATGCCGAACAAGTATTAATTTAGAAGTCAAACAACAAAAATCGGCGTTATATTTTCAACTAGTCCTGTAAAAATTTGAAAATATAATGCTGATTTTTGTTGTTTGATTTCTAAATTAATATGTATATGTATCTGATAAATGTTTATTTGGTTTTAAACATAAATAATTTATCTTTTACTAAATTAAAGTTGATACCTGGATAGAAGCTCACTGATTTGTTCATTAAGTCATGATATTTTCATATTTTAATCATAGCATGTTATTATAGTGCATATAGTATCATGCACACTTTAAATCTTAGTACATATTTTCATAGCATACTTTCAATCATAATATCTATTTTTTAGGTGAATGAGTATTTACCTACACCTTTAGTATTACAAGATCTGAAAGGAGAAATATCAACCATTAAGTCAATTCTTCTTAGCAGGTATCTTATCTTTATAATATTTGCAATTTCATTATATTTCCTTGTGCTACATATAAATTGGTATTTTTTTTCAGAAAAAAATCTGTTAAATGTAGATAAGAAATTCTTATGATATAACATATTAAATAAATAGAATTGTAGAACCATAGTTTAATGAACGTAGTTATTTACTGAAAAAATATCTCATAAAAATATAAATTGTTATTTTTTGTGTAAAATTCTGCAAGTTTAATTTAATTCATGAATAAGTATCTTAGAGATACCTTCCCCCCATGGAATGCATGTGAGAATTTGAGGTACATTCCATGGAGAGAAAATATAGATTTAAATTGTATAGTGATAAATCTGCTTATTTAGCAAAAAATGTGCTCTAAAAGTTTTACATAGTAATAGGCTATGCAGCTGCCTTTGGCAATAACGCATAAGGATATTCATATTGGTATATAAATGGTGAACATCGTTCTGTAAAATTTCTTGCTGGAGGTTCTGTGAATGTTTTGCAAATTCATAGACATTATGAAATAATTGTAATCAAATGTCCCAGTATACCTGATAGAGTTTAATTGGGCGAATGATTGGAAAATCTGAATAGGAAATTGATAATTATGGTACTGCATAAACCAGCCTTGGAGACATTTGCCAAGCATATATAGGCATCATCTTGTGGATTCTGAAAAGTTGTAGGATTCCCCACTAAGTTACAGTTGAATGTGAAGAATCTTAAGAACTGTTATGTGAATAATTGCTTGAGTTCATGAGGTAGAAAACAACAAGTGAGAAGGGTGAAATAACCATTTATTATACCAATTAAACAAAACTCCGTCTTGGAGTTGTACAATAAAGCCGACACTTGGGCTTCAACTTAAGAGACTAAGAAATAAACTAAACTAATCTTAACTAAAAAAAATATAGACTAAGTTATCAAAATTCTAATGGGAGTTGGCCCCCTAATGCTAATTGACTGTGAAGCTATCAAGGGCCTAAAGTACGGCTGAGCATAATAATAGCTTACGAGAGAGTAGCCTAAAAAGGCAGATGCTTGCTAGCCAGAATATCTGTTCTCTCTCGCTCTAAGACAGTAGAACTTCGTGGTTAAATACCACTCTTCCTCATTAGCATTCAAATGTGATTCTAAAACTATGTCCTGGCCAGAAGAGGTAAGTTGAAATTAAGAAGTGATAGGAAAGGAAGTTTAACTCAAAATTTAACTGTTAATAAAATTAACATAATCCTTACAAGGTACAAACAGTTTTAGCAGCATAGTAGGTCATAGAATGTTTGAGGTATTATTGGGCCCTCTAGATTGCTGAAAGATCCATGAATGTGACTTGGTATCACAGGAAATATCCCCACAAAAAATAGCACCAAGTATGATGGATATGTTCTGTGAAATAACTGGAATGAGAATCATATCTATATATGAATTCTGTAGTCTTCAAAGCTGAACCAAAATTATGATTTATTACTGAATCAGTGCAATATTAAGGATATTCATTTCTTGTTTTGTTGATACAATATATACCAGTGCTCTCAGGCAGAGGAGGTAAAGGTACTATGAACTGCAATAATAGTCCATGCTCTGCCAAATTTCTTATCATTGCTAGAAGTAATGATGCACTTTCAGAGTTGCCATCTCTCCCAAAATAGGCGGGAGACTCTCAATTTCTGACCATACTCCTGCCAACCTGATTTGCAAATATTTCTCCCAACTTTTTCTCTTATTCCTAAAATTTTTTATGTAGTTTTGCTTAATAGTTTGTTATTTGCACACAAAAAAGTGACTTATTGTATGGAAGCACTTATCGCTCTAGATACATGTAAAAGAAAACCAAAGTTGTTTCATCAGTAAGATATGGCATGTTTCTGCTTTGTATGTGAGAGTTTGAAACATGTGTCTAAAAACATCATGCTTCAGTTCTCCATTGAGAACCGAGCACCTGTGTGGGTCATTTAGTATATATTAGCCAATGAGTGCAAAGCAAGATATTATTAGATATAGATTGTTATTTCGTTTGTCTCACCACTGAGCAGTGCAAGTTTCATGTGCTTCTCAGAAACAGTTTAAGAAACTGTAATCTTTTGTTTATGTCTGTGAAAAATGTAAAATATTCATAAAAAACCATAATTAACTATTTATCACCAGTGTCTATATAAAAACATTTTATATTAAGGATACCGATGATAAGTTCAAATTTGTTGTCTAGTACTGTTGTCAGTTTGTCTAATGAATATTTATCATTTTGTCTTTAGGCTTTAACAATGCTTTTTGTCTTTTTTCTATGCTTTTCATTGTTTGATGTTCTGAGCACAATTCTACAGGGCAGAATTTCATTAATTCGTGTAATATTCCAATCATCATTATGCTTATGGAACCCCCGTTGAAACCCCATTTAACAGTATTGTCAAGCAATTTGTCAATATGACGTATACATTTTTATAGGGCTAATTGTGTAATAATCAGTAAGCTTTCCCAGTAGTGCTGTTATCAGATATCTCTTCAGGCCAGAGAACTGTGAAGTTCATTGTACATGTACTAATATACTTCATTTATATATGTAACTGAATGTAATATACTGAACATTCAGTTACATATATAAAAGAAGTGTGTCTGCGTTCAGCAGTATTATAAAACTGTTGTATGCTTTTATGAAAAATAGCATTACTTTTGTTTCTTGCGAGATACCCAAAATAAGTAATGCTGGTATTTTTTATTTAATAAGTATGTATTCTGTTTTGGGCAGAGAGGTTTTTAAGTGGTTAGTACTTAAAACTTTGAGAAACATGAATAAAAATTAAGGTGAGATTATTTACTTCAGTGTCATTTTAAATACCTGAATGTAAACTATACATTAATTTGCTCCATTTAATTAGAAGTTGAGCTAATGAAGTAATTCTATATAGGCATCAGTTTCCTGCCGTGCCAAAATTCACCACAAGCATACCAGCTTGGCAACTTCCGAATTCAGAAAAAAATGCTGAAGAAGACCCTGAATCTGAAACAAAAGCGAAGGAAGAAGGGGAATCGCAAGAATCTGCTGCTGAAGACATGGATGACGTCAGTATAATCAATGGCTCACTGTCGAGTGAACATTATACGGATGTTTTGGATTCTCCAGAGAGTGTGAAGACTACATAAGTTTTCATTTTTATACCGTAAGTATTTTATGTAATATCAATAATTTAATATGGCATTCTTTGTCATACATTTAAAAAAATGCCATAATTATTTATTATAAAATATGATAAATTACTGATCTATAGATTAAATTGAATATAAAACATTCATTTTAATGTGACATTGTAATTAAATCAAAATTGTTGCTAAATTAGTTGTTTTAAAGCAGTAGTGGATCCCTCTGCTGACAAATAAATTGACTTCACCATGCTTAATCTAACATCAGTTTTGTAATTTTGAATTTTTTCATGTTGTAATTGTCATTGTTTTTATCTAACTGTCACATAGTCTGCACCTCTTTCTCTTCAGCTGTCTTGCTGCGAAATATGTGTGAAGTACATTTGCGATTACTGTGGGTATGCCTTTAGTGCTGGTTTGGCTATGTAGATTCACTTCAAAAATACGTAACTATATCAGTCAGCTATAACTGCTTCTGCATTTTTATGCACCAGCACCAGTATTATCATCTCATCAGATCCAAAATTTTATATGTATTTTTCCTGAATCCTGCATTTATGTATAAATGAGTGTCTTGCATATGAAAATTATCTCTAGGCAAACATTTTACAAATTCACTGTTTTGCACTTATGAGTGAGATCTTTTGATTTCAGTAGTAAATGTACATTTATCACTGAAATTAAGAAAGAAAAAATTGATGTGTACACCATGACTTTCTTGTACAGAATGTTAAATTATATGCATTTTTTCTTGCATTTCATTTAAACTTATTGAAATAAATCTACTTTGTCGATAGCGTATAAACCACTATAGAATAAATGCACTCTTTAAAATTCACTATAATTGTTTACCATAGCGACACTCTGGCGCTAGGTTCACTTAACAGCATTACATTTCATTTACGTTGTAACTCAGAATGCACAAAATTTATATCATCTGAAAAATTATCTAATCGTTGTCACATGTTCTATTCAAATATTATAATAAATCTAAAACGATGTATAAAAGAATTTAAGCAAACAACAACAAAAAAGAAAGAAAGAAACAGTTTATCACAGACGATTTTGGTATTTCTCATTCAATTATTTCAGTTTTCACTTCACAACAAGGCAAAAATACATAACAACTCAAAATATCTGTATTGAAAATTATGAAGTAAATCTTTAACACTTAGTTCCTCAAATAAATTCTAGAATGGATTAAGCATGATTTAATTCACAATAATAAAAGGTGTTATCTTTGTTGCTGCAAACTTTCTCTAGATTGGCAACAAATCTACTATTCTGATGTTTGAAATGTAAACAAACATTGCCGCCATTGCAAAAAGGATTAGGCTTAGCTGCATTTAAACAACTTTTAAATTGTTAATACTTCTAAAAATATTGCATGCAGATTTGCTAAAGGCATAAAAACCTTAATCGGAAGATAAGAACAACATAATTCAATCATTTTTAAAGCAAAAAATGCACAACTTAATAAAAATGCACAACAAACATATAAGAATAAAGAAACTAAGATCACTGAGCCAAGCAACAGAGTGGATATATATATATATTTATATACTTTTAGTGTGGCCGATTGCAACCAAAGTAAGAGGTGCACATCTACATGTTATAGCATTCCTATATACAAAATTTCAACATTCTGACGCTACTCATTTTTTAGTTATGCGAGATATGTACGTATGCACAGACATCACAAAAATTTCTCTTCAGAATTCATTTTAAATCAATTTTATAATTTTTTTGGGTGGAAAGAGTCTTTTATTCTGTCCTTACGTAAGCGTATCATGCAAAAATATCGTTAAATTGCATTCGATAGCGGTCAAAAGGGATATTTTTGTTGAAATAGGATGCCTGAAGTTTTGTGTGATTACAATGCTTCCTTTTTACTTCATACAAGGAAGTGAAAAGTAAAAAAGAGAGAGAGAGAAAAGTTGATGTAAAGAAGTAGGAGTGACTGATTTTTGGATTTGCTGATTCAGATATTTTCCTTCATTAGGTCAGTAAGTTAGGTTCTGTATTAATTAAAATTCCATTAAGAAGGAACCATGCTTTTTAAAAAAATCATTAGTATAATTTTTGATTATTCATTTCTTCAAATTCTGTTTCTTTTCCCATATTTAGTATAAAGGCATATTTAGTATAAAGGCACTTTTTGATTTCGAGAAAGTGCTGGAAAATTCTAGCGCGTGATTTTAAAATCTTATAAAAGGAGGAAAACATCTCAGTTTGTAGTAGTTGTTTAGTTTGTTGTTGTTTAGAAAACTACCGTTGTTGATTGTAGCGAATTCGCGGATTAGCGTCCTTTAGCTGTTTTGAATTACGTTCTATTGGACATTTGAGTAGTTAAAAGATAACTACTGTGAGATATTGTAATACTGCATGATAATTTGAGAAAATTTAAGCATTTTTGTTGTGATAATAATAAATTTTTGTTCATTTTTCATCGGACTTGTGCATTCATTTCATAACGAACCCGTACGCACGCAACAATATCATTTTTCCTTTTGCAGCATAATTTTTGTGACATGAAGAAACATCTGTATGAAGAATTTGGGTACGGTGTCCTTACGTCAAAAATTGAACGAGTAACATTTTTGAATGCCAAGGAGGAAAAAATATGTGTATATTTAAAAGTTTGTATATTATATTCATCTGTTCTTAACTGGCATATTTAATGATAGGCTTTAATATGTGAATATTTTCATTTAAGAATTATTTGCATATATTGGTACTGTTTGATATTAAGTATTTATTTTATATTTTATTTACTGTTTTCTAATGAATTCAAATGTGAAAAAAATTTTTCTTATTGACATTTTTTACTTACCGTAAATTCATATACTCGTAGATAACAATGTGTAAATGATGTTTAGTATGTGAATAAAGGTTATTTTGTTCAATGTTTTTGAGGATATATTTAATTCTGTAATAATGTCTTTAACTAATACATTTAGCTCTGCAACAGTAAGTTATTCTGTGTTTGAAGAAATAAAAAATGAACTGAAAAATTTGAATAGGAAATTTACAAAAAAGTTTAGTGTTTTAACTTAGATTTTAGTATTGTAAAATTGAAAAAAGAGATCCGGTAGTGCTATATACCAAGTGATTCATACATCTGTCTGGAGTTTCAAAAGTGTACAGTACAGTAATTGTAACAATTACAAAGTTACATATTACTACATAAGGAGTCTGTCCAAGTGTGAACTTAGAATAGGTTCTGTTATGCTGATTAAGCTACTAAGGAGAACATTACATTCACTGGTAAACATGAAATTTACTAAATTTTTTTTGTAAATGTGAGTGTTCAGTTATTGACTCTAAAATGCAGTTTTTTACAAAATATCAACAGGCATCAAGTAACCCTAGTAAAATTTCAAGAGAAAACTGGCTGCCTTTGTAATGCTCCGAGAGAACAACTGAGACCAGAAATTAAAATGTTTTACATTAAAATTGGGAGGAATTGGGCAAAATTATGTTGTCACATTTAAGGTACTCATGGTGCCAATGATTAAAGTTCTCTTCCTTTTGGCCACGATGAATTAGTGGACTAGATCTGGAGTATCCTCAGATGCTTAGGAGTAGGAACATTAAAGGCAAACTTTCTGAACAATATCTTCATTAATTTCTGATTTTTCTAAAAGAGTTTTTCATTTGCATAACGTTTTTGGAGGGGTGAGGAATGGAGAAAGTGAGAGGTAAGAGATAAGATTTAAGATGCTATTATTTATGTAAGTAAAAATAAACTTTATACGGAGTTTAATAATGTATTTTATTTCTCCTCTTTCGCGTGCTTTGGAAATTATTTGCCAGTAATATTTCTATAGTTCCTTTCTCTCCCCTTTTTTAAATATATAAGAGCTATGAACTTTGCATGCAGTCCATTGCCAGCCAAAAAATACTACCTGGATGAATAACTGTTACTTACATATTAACGCCACCACAGCAGAAGTTGCCCTGATGCGCCAATAAAGAGCAATCCTGTTGTTCGTACGCAGTTATCTTTTGGATTCCTTTTTGCCTTGTTGTTTGCTGATGTTTGACGCCATTTTTTAGTGCTATGAAAATGCGTCTTTGGGATTTGCCACAGAAGTGCAGTTTTATTTTTTTCAGGAGCAAAATTTGTACAAAAAAAACAAAAATGTACCAATTCGCATGATATGAAACTTTATTTTGATAAACATTCGTTTTGGAAATGTAATTTAAGACAGTGGGACTTAGAAAAGACTTAGGTTTGAAGGAAGCAGAATTCCATTTTATTGAGCTTTGAGATTCATATACTGCTGGTGCAAGGAGTTGACGTCGATTAAATTTTGTGGAAAGCAACATGATTTATCAGATAAAACTGTTATAGATTGGAACATTACATGTGTGAATTATGTGTCTTAGATATGGAGAATAAAACAAACAAGAAGGTAGGTGGACCAGACTGCATTGTGGAAGTTGATGAAAGTTTGTTTACTAAGTGTAAAAATAATTGTGGTCGAGTATTACCGGAACTGTAAGTGTTTGGTGGTATATGTAGAGAAGCAAAAACATTTGTTTGTTGTCACTGTTATTAATAGAACTGGCTCTACCTTTCTTAATAAAATTTTTGAAAGCATTGCAGATGGTAGCACAAAAATTTATTCTGACAGTTGGAAAGGTTACCAAACAGAATAGAATAGAAAAAGAAGGATTCTCACATGCTAAAGTTAATCATAAATACAATTTTATTGATTCTGATACAAGAGTTTATACACAAGCAGTTGAGAGAATGTGGGGCAGCGCTAAATGGAGGAGAGGGAGACATAGGGAATAGTGAGACATCATTTAGAATCTTATTTAGCAGAGTTCATATGGCAACAGCATCAGGTCAAAGAAATAGAGACTGTTTTGAATCTATGTTAAATTCTATATCGGCTCATTTTCCACCGAAATCCAATTGACTACTTTTATTTTAAATAAAGTGTTTTGATTTTTGAAAGTGTTTGATTTTAAATAAAGTGTTTTGATTTTTGAAAGTGTTTGATTTTAAATAAAGTGTTTTAATTTATGATTTGTCACAAAAATTTTAGGTGTAGATTGGTGGTACTTAAAAAAAGCCAAATCTGCAGCTGCGGTGGCGTTAATATGTTAAGTGCTGAATAACTCAAAAGATTAACAGTGATCATTCACCGACATGCTCAAAAGAAACGCTACTGTAGCAAGAACTTGCGTGACTCAATTTTAAAATGCCACAGGGTTGCTTGAAAAAAAAAACTGATTTTGCTACTAAATCAATAGGTTTCTTCAGCAACAAAGACATCGACTTTTAAATTCTTTCTGATGCTTTTGACAGCTCCATGTTAAATTTCATGAATTCAGAGTCTGTGTATATGTAACCTAAGACTGCTTTTGAACTCGCTTCTAAATTTTTCAAAGGCTTAGCAATGTTGAAGATCAGTGCTGTAGTTGTTGCATCAAGTGATGTTTTGGATCTTCTTGCACTCTTGTCATGTCATTTCTTCTGGGAATGGCTACTTTACATCAGTTGACTTCTCAAGTGACTTAATATCTCTACATTTGTCTGATTAAAGATTTATTCTGCCTTTTCAGGCAGCACATTTGTCTTTCATTATTTTTCATACAAAATACTATTAGTACTATCAAATAAGATTGTTGTTGCTGTGACTAATCTCACTTGTCTAATATCAGAATCAGCCCACGACATTCATTGTGAAAGGATGCAGGATTGTACCTGTTATTGGCACCATACAGGTAACGGTATGAATTTGCTCATTTCCGCTCCCAATTTTGAAGGAAAGCACCCCATGGGGACCCATCCCTCTTCCCTTACCGTCAACCTCTCGAGAGAAACTAAACAAGATATCTGGTAATGCCTCTGGAGTTGCAACTAGGTACATAGTAATTAATATGTAATGTAGCACTTAGGATATCATGTGTTCCGCTTGCACGTTACAGTATTTCTAACATTTCTGCTTCTTGTTTAAGAAATTGAACATTTTTTATTAATTTGTAATGAAATTTTAAGATTTTGTTTTACTATCTAGATTGGGGAGAGTGAAAAGCACCTTTGCTATGATATTATAATGGTAATTTATATTAATTAAAAATTCTTTTACAAGCTCTAAAGAAGTGTCTAAACCCAGTAATTTTTTTGTTGCTAATAAAAAAGTCTTTCTTATGTACAGTCAAAAGTCGTTAATTCGGACACCTATAATTCGGAATGATCTATAATCCGGACCTCAAAACTAAAAACTTTCTGCGCATGCGCCGCGTTGACACATGTGCATAAGCGTTTACGCGTGCGCGTAAGACCTTTTACGACTGCACATATGAGTGTGCGCAAGTGCAGAATACGTTTTCGCGTGCGCGTTTTATGTATAATGGACGTATAAGCTAAAATTATCTAATTATCTATTTCAGTTAATGTTGATGATTGCGTTGTTCCTTAATTTTCGAATTGGATCCGGCTTATTATTTTTTGCAGACTGTAAGAGCAATTTTATAAAAGTAAGCTTAAACTTTCGATTATATCAAATAGAATTTCCGATATATATTTGTTAATGTGTAAAGGATCTAAAGTGAAAGTATGTTTTGAAATCCGAAATCTGTTTATCAATTTCACGCTGCTGGGCGGGGGGGAACGCTGCAGTGGGCGCGTAATGAATTGGAAGTTGATGAGCACTATCCTTATCTTCAGCGCAGATGTTTTCATTTTATTTGGCTTATAATTCCTTACCAAATGTAGTATTTCATCTCGATATGCTCCATCTTTGATATGATTTAAAACAAGTTCCTCGTCATTATAATTCGCTTCCGATAAGGAAGAAAGTGACAGAGGTTATTGAAAACGAAAAAATTTCGACTGACAAATTAGTCGGGACACAGCAATTATAGGACTTGAACAGCGGAACTTTAAAAGTATTATCACATGAAATGAAGCAAAACTTAAACAACTTACATTGAAAGAAATGTTTAATAAAGTAAACAAATAAATATTAATCTTTTTCTTTTTGCAAATTTTGATACCCTTTAGATCATAATTATTCTTTATTTCATAAATTACGGTTTCATATTTTTAATTTTAGAATTTCTGCATGCCATCTTACGAGATTTAAACTGATGATCTATAATCCGGAAAAATCGATAATCCGGAATCACCGAAGTCCCGACGAGTCCGGATTAACGACTTTTGACTGTATATGGAATTGTATTACTAGCATACTTACAGTTCTTGTGATCTCAATTCCATATCATGAAAAAAGAATTGCCTTTTTTGTTTGTTTGTTGTTTGGGATCTGTTTCAGATAGTGAAAACAATCAATATAATTGTGATGAAGGTATTTTTCTGGTATTAGATTAGAGATATGTTCAGTAATCAAATAATTTTATGGTCTAGACACTAAAGATGTACGATCCGCTTGCCAACTGATTCAAAGAACCGATTCACTTTACTGAGCAAATGAACACTAAAACTGAGCAGTATCTCTTGTACTCTTGTTGGAATTTCAGTTCCCATTTAGAGGAGAAAAGAATGTTTTTCTTCTGAAATAGGAATCGGTTTAATTTTTATAATTTCCTAGTTTTTGAATGTTTTATTCAAGAATTGTTAGTTCTATATAGAAAGGAGGTTTTAGGAAATCTCAAAAGAAATCAGTTTAGGGATTTAATGATTCGATTAAATCGATTTCTCTGATCCCATTCTTCGTTCGATTCATTTAACTGTTCGCTCGATTTTTGCACACCGCTTTTGATTCACACCTTGTTCTTACTTTTTTTCTTTAAGTGTACTGTTAATGAATAGGACAGCTGAGGTAGATTAAATCTTTATTTTATTTTCAGTAACCATGTTGCGGCCACAAACAACTTGGCACGTTATTTGTGCCTACTTCCAGAACATTCATATTGATATTATTGTGTAG